CACCATGGTCAGAATCACAATATACATCAAGAGTGAGTGCATTGTTATTTGAATAGTGAATACCATCTGTGATAGAATCCTTAATATATATCAAAATTCTTTTAATATTCACTAAGTCCTGTTTGGTATGTTGTCTTGAATATCTGCTTCCATAATTAACTGCAAAGCTGATGTCTGGACGGGTGTTGGATGACAAATACCAAAAGCTCCCAACTGTTTCTGGATGAGGAAATTTGGTCACACAAGTTTCTTCTATATTACAATTTTCTTGAATTGCAATAGGAGTTCTCACAGATTTAGCTATTTGCTATGTTATTTATTTATGACTTCAGCATATCTTGCTTGATTCATGAATACCCCATCTCAATTTTGAGTAATTTGCATTCCTAAGTATATGATCCACTGTGGTTTCAAAATGGATACTCATTTTCTTGAGGAGTTTTTGAACTTGTGTACTATCTTCACCAATAATGATTTCATCATCCACATGAATTGCAATAAAACTTTTATTGTTAGAATTTGTTGATTTGCACCTGTGAACCCACACATTGATCTGTTTGTAGGTGAACAAGACCTTCGGAGTTAAGAAATTCTGTAAGTTATTTGAACCATTGATGAGGAGCCTTTTTGAGACTATACAAAGACTTCCTCAATCTGCAAATTTTACCATTAACATCAAAATCATTTGGCAAACGCATGTAAATTTCTTCTTTAAAATGGCCATACAGAAAAGCTGATTTAATATCAAATGTACTTATTTTCAAATTTTCAGAGGCAGCAATTGCTAGCAGCATTCATAGTGTATTTGTTTGGACAACAGAGCTGTAGATGTACTCATAATCCAGACCTGCCTTAAGCTGACAACCTCGAGCCACAAGTCTAGCTTTATAACGACCATCTCCCTTGACATTAAAAAGTCATCGACTTGTCACAATTTCTTTGCATATGGCACATTTTACATCTACCAAATTCCAAGTATGATTCTTGACCGGCAGTCTTTCACTTCTTCTATGGCACTAATCCATTTATTTTTATCTTTACTATTCATACAGTCTTCATAAGTAAGAAATGAATCGCAATCTTCACCTTCACTGGAAGTTTCTTGATTGACTTTGTAGTCTTCATTTCAAGGATTTCTTCATCTTTGAAGACGTTTTCAATTTCCACCCACTGTCTGTTGAGAAGTTGTGTTTTCAAACTAAAACAATTTCATCAATGTGTATCTGATGAAATGGTTATGGCAAAAATTATTTACTTTTTACCAGAACAATACAGATATTTTTCCAATGCATGGGAATCAACTCCCACTTTAGACAATATCATTGAAATTCTTGTGGGAAGACTCTGTGTTAAAGAATCTCAACGAACTCTGAAGAAGTACAAGTCAATCAGTAATAAGAAAGAACCAAATGATTCTTTTGTTGTTCTAAAGAAAACTTCAAATCCAAATCCCAAAACGTCCAAACCAAAGCCGAACAATGTTTGCTATAAATGTAGTGAGGTAGGTCATATAAAATCAAAGTGCTTGTAGAAGAAATATTGTCTTATCAAAAGGATAATCACAATGGCGATCAGTGCTCTAAAAACAAAAATAAGAACGACCAGCAGTTCCCACATGTAATTATTGCAAAAACACAACAAATCACTCCTCCTAAAAATGTCACTTTAAAGAGCAACATGAAAGAAAGAAAAGAGTAGCCTTTTTTGCAGAAATGGATCAATGTGCTTACCAATGTAATAACTAGGAAGAAAATTCATCATACTTGATTGACGTGTTGTTTGGTGAAAAACTAAAAGATAATACTTTTGTTGTGGACAGTAAGATGCAACCATACATATGACAGTCAAAAAGAATTAACCAATACAAAATGTTCCAGGGGAGGGCAAAGATTGGCGAAACTATGACTGTAAAATTATCTGGTTATATTGAAACATTTGAGGTGATATTCAAGAATGTGTCCTATGTTCCTGAGCTTACAAGAATCTTGTCAGTAAATGGTATTACAGAAAATGATGGAGAAGTAAGATTCAAAAATACTGAAGTATTGATATTGAAAGAATGTAAAATTGTTCTACAAGGACATAAAACTTCTAGTGGACTATTTTTTGTTGATATGAGCCGTCAACGTGAAAAAGAATCATTGTTTACTCAACATGAGGACGAGTACATAAAATGGCATCGAAGCTTGGTTCATATTAGTTTTGTGAATCTCAAGAAACTGCCAATTTGTGTACTGTCAACTTGATCTCATGAAAAGGAAAACCAATCCTGTGTGTGAAACCTGTGTAGTTGCCACACTTTCAACAAATTCGTTTGATACAATTCGACACAAAGACCATTGGAAATACTACAGACTGAACTGTGAGGTAAAATTAAGCCTCCTACACCTGACAAGAAGAATAATTTCATTGTGTTCGTGGATGGTACCTTCTTGAAACTAAGAATTAAACAGAAAGTTCGTAAGGGAATGTATTGATGAGTCAGAAAATTTTCACAAGCTAATCGTGTCAAAAATAAGAATGGACAATGGTGGTGAATTCCGTTCTAATGATTTTAAGGAGAGGTGTAAACAGAAAGGTATCCAATTGGATTACTCCATTCCTTATTCTCCACAGTTAAATGGTGGTTAAATTATTTACGTCAGAGAAAATGAACTACACCATGGCAAATAAAATGAGAGCTTCACTGCAAGATGCTAATTTTCCTGGTGAAATGCGGGGTACTGCAGTACAGACTGCTGCTTATCTCCAAAACAGATGTCCTACAGTAGCTGTAGATACTACACCTGAGAAGTGGTGGAAGAAGAAACATGATTTGTCTCCTTCAAATTTTTGGTTCAATGGTTTATCCCAAAAATTTAGGTCCTCTCAAGAAACTGGATCCTAGAGCCAAAGAGGCATATTTGTGGGGTATTCAAACAACGGCTTTATAATCTGGGATGAAGATATTCGTCAACACAATTATTGTATGTCTCCAGAGATGTAAAAGCTGTTGATACTAAAGAAGTGGGAGTTGATTCCCATGCATTGGCAAAATATCTATATTGTTCTGGTAAGAAGTAAATAATTTTTGCCATAACCATTTCATCAGATACACATTGATGAAATTGTTTTAGTTTGAAAACAATATTTAGAAGATTACAAATGTTCATCATCTTATCTTTGGTTTTATCAAACTTGAACCCATGAACCCTTGAAGTCCATCAGCAACTGTTGTTACATTTCTTTCGAAGTGCCACATGTCAAACTAAGATTTTTTATCTTTTTATCAATGGTTTTTACAATGTAATACTGTTCCTTGGCATTCTTGGTGTGCAACGTTTTTTGTTTATGTTCGTCATTACCATATTCACCCAACAGTTTAGCACCAGACACAACTTCCCATATCCGCTTTGTTTTGTATAAAATCTGTATCTCAAACTCCCAAAGCTGGAAGGAGTCTTAAGTATTTTCACATTGTTCAATTCAGTATCTCCTGCGCCATGATTCTTTTTGTTCTGGAGCCACTTAAGCGAATTTTTAATATTAGTTTCTTAATATTCTAGCTCACCCACCTACTCCCACAACTTACCACCTTCACAGCAGCACGCATGAATCGTAAGCGGGTTATCAAGATTTTGCTCGTGAAGCGAGCTTAAAAATCTAGGGAGCAGGATCTTCTGGGTGCGAGAAATGTTTGAACCCTTGACACAATAAAATCACACAGATTGCACACAAACGAGCGTATAATTTAATCATAAACTTTAAGTGTCATAAATTCATGACAAAAACCAAGAATATAGAATCACACTTTTACAAAGAATGATCAAAACGCAAATAGAAACTTTTACAACACACACTCATATGAATGAACACATAATTTACTCCAAAATTGATACTCTGAAATCATTACCCTAATCTACACTGGGAATTCCCTTGGAAAAAGAATTATATCTAAATTTATGCTATTCTAATTACAATGCACATGAAACCAAAATTTCAATTTACACGCTACAAAATATTACACGCAAAGAACAAAATGTGTGCAAGTGCACTACTCATTTACAATTTAACTTGTCTGAAAATAGCAGAATAATAAATGTCCTAAGTAGAATGATTTATGCAGGCAATAGCGCATCAAAATGTCTCCTACTATAATATTGCAATTTGTTGCCACCCGTATCCTCAAATTCTTAACACTTTCCTATACTAGTTTTCCCTGCCGACGTGAACTTGACCTATTTTCTGCGGATCCTAACTGTTACCTCGTGGACTTTTGGCCTTGATGGTCGTGCGCTGGTCGCTGCGTTGACGCCGTTCGGTCGCGCTCTGCGTCGTAAGAGAGACGGGATTCGCCTCTGCCGTCTGCGTTGCCTTCTTGCGTCCTCTTCCGTTCTTCCTCCCAGCCGTTCCGTCTTCTTCCTCGTGCGCCTGGGTCCTTGGCCTCTTCCTGTTCTTCGTCTGCTTCCGGCGCCTCTGACTACGCCCACGTTGCGAAAATGTCACTTGCACTTCACTGAATACTCGTGCAAGTTCTTCGCTCGTTGCTACTTCTACTTTGCTAAACCAGAACTTTCAATGCTTCTCTCACAACGGGTAACTTTTACTTCCCGTGTTGTGAATTGAAGAAACACTTTACTTAATCTGCACTATCTCGCGGACGACTGACTAGAATGTCTGTTCGACGCCGAATACTCCTACCTAGAGTTGCAGCGGCAAACAATATCTAAACTAATGTTAACGAAAGTGTTGGCTCAGCGAGCGATGATCAAAATGCTACTGACTCGGCGATCGGTGGTAAAAGAGGGCTTCCGCTTGCTGGTTCGCGTATTTATCGCGCGGCGCCTGGGAAAATTCTCAGTGGTGGGGCTGCTTCCCCTCTTAACCCTTCACAAGGAAAACATTGCTTGCTAGTTTGCCTTCGTTTAGTACGGGCAACGGATACCAGGCCGCGCGTTTACGAAGCTCTGTTTTCTGCGCCTGTTATCCTCGCTGGCTCCGTAGTGTTCACACATATGATACGGTGGTGTTATGGGGTTGCACAATCCCATAATGCCACAATATATTTTGTAGAATATTTTAAACAGTATTACCAGAAGTATTTGGCGCTGTCTGGGCCCATAACCTGTTTTCAAATTTATGTTTTATATTATCTAGTTGCACAATATTATAAAGACAACACAGGTTTTAAACACGTTTAACACATAGCGAAAAAGCCAAGTATTATTTTATTGCTTGATAGTACCAATATAGAAAACATAACAAAAAAGGGTATCATCGTTACCAACTTTAAACGCATTTTAATGTTGAATCTTTAATGAGTGTTCAAGACTGACCAGGTGAGATTTCAAAACTGTCTCCGTGAGTGTTTTAGGAAATAAAAACAATCCAGATTTCAAAACCGTGGGGGATGAAATGCAAATTTCAATGAACAATATAGGTTGTACCGTAAGCATCAAAATTTCATTGAAACATTTTCTCCACAACCACCTTGATTTGTTACCGGAAAATTTATGGGATTTCAGTAATGAACATGGAGAGAAGTTTCATCAAGACTTGAAAGAGATGGGAAAACGTTATCAGGGCAGATGGAATGAAGTGATGACGACAGACAACTATTGGTCTTTAAAGAAAAAAAGGATAGAATTACACAGAAGACGATCGAGAAAGCAAACTTTCAGCAAAAGAAAGTATTAGCAGAGTCTCTGACGTCGTTAGTATAAATATTACATTATTGTTAATGTAAGTACATTGTCAATGTGCATAACATGTGTTCGCTTGTATACATACTTAATCCTTTTTTCTTCAGTCGAAATGTGTATCTGGTTTTAAATCGTTTACTCACTCTGTTTCTATTGAAACTTTCAAAAAATACAGATTTTGTTTACCATTTTTTTCTTTGAATTTACAAACAATTCTTATGTTTTAGGGAAAAATGGATCTCAGATATTAAGTATTAGCTCAAATGAATAAAATCATCCGAAAACTTTTTTTTCGAAGCCGAATGTAATCTATGAAACTTATTATAAAAAACGTTAACAGGTTAGAAAGTATTATGTAGTTTTTCTTCCTTCTTTCTATTACTTAAACATGATATCTTCGATTGTATTCACATTTCACAAGTTTAACAATTATGCTCTTTAAAATGTTTAGTATTTTTATTTAAATTGGGGGAAACAATAGCTTAGTAGAAATTTATGAATTTATAACAAAAAATTATGTTAATTCAAAATCCGAGAACTTGGATATGCAATAGAAAAGTACCCGAAAAGATGATAACATATTCAGAACATCACAATATTTTTATAATTGTAAAATGTGGCGTCGCCAACGCTGTAAACTGTTTTAAGAATAGTTTTATGTGTTGAAATTGTTTTTCATACTTTATTTCTTTCACTTTCAGATTATTTCAAACCTGTTATTTCAGTATCTGGCATTGGGCTTACCAACGAATCGTTTAACCTATAATATTATACTCCTGTACGCAAGTCACCAACACCCAGTTATTTTGTGTGTTTTCCGATGTATCCCGTACGGGATATAAACTGGTCTTATTGAAATTTCAAAATTCGAATCACTGTAACAATTTCTTGTAGGTTTCGATTAGGCTAATTGTTAAATGTTAGTACAGCTACATTTTTCGATATTTTTCTAATATGCACAAAAATGCACGTAGCACATTTGCATTAGCACAAATGCTTAATGCAAAAATGCGGGTAATTTCCAGATTAGATCCGAATATTCTTTTGCAACATATTTTAAAACTACATTTGATTCTTCCCAGGATTTTCTTAAGACTTGTGTATTTTTCATCCCTTAATTTTTCAAGAGATTGGAACTTCACAAACTCAGTCTAATTAGTGTTCACTTCTACTTCTCCAATTGCTTATTAATTGTTTTGAATGCTAATTTAGCGTTGCATGCAAATCTAACATTTATATTTAATTAAATTTTGTATGTTTATGTGAATAAGGTGTCAGTTAAGTTTAATAAACGTTAGTTGTGTGTCACATTTATTTGAAAACCGGTATTTATTTGCACACTTATGTAAAAACACAAAAAATTAATAAAATAAGTAGAATATTACGTATATTTCGTTCTTTAACATTACTAGTTTTTTCACATATTCAAGAGTAAGAGGAAGAATCGAGTTTCGAATTAATGGTCTCAAAGGGAAAAATCTCGTTTTTCAGCGTTCTTGGATTTCACACAAATATGGTCTTCCTGACTACACCATTATCACAATTCAGATTGCTTTTGGGCAGCTTTATTCCCAGCTTAGTTGTTGAACCAGAACACTATAATAAAGTATATCCCATAGCAAAGAACTTTATGTACATATTAGAAGAAAGTGGTTATTTCCATTTACAAACAACTAAGCCCGACACCGTAGGTACGTATGTTGTAATATATGTATGTAAACAATTGCGTGATTTTTCGTATTAGTTACGCAGTGTTTTGCTTTCGCTGAGACAATTCTTTTATGCCAATGGTTTTCCAGGTGTTAGTTTAAGAGACTCTGCAGTGGGACTAGCAGCCTACATTCTCGAAAAATTTTCCACTTGGACTGATAAAGATTGGCGATCTTTGCCTGATGGTAACCTTGAGAAAAAATACTCTTTGACCAACCTCTTAGACAACGTTATGATATACTGGGTTTCAGGATCAATCACTACATCAATGCGTTTATACAGTGAAGCCTTCACTAAGCAATATTTAGGGCTTCAGATAGACAGGTAATGAAATTTTTATACTATCAAGTGAATGATCATGGTGCAGTTTCTGTGCGAATAACCATATTTATATAATATAATATTTATTTATATAAAATTAGAAATTATGAAAGAGCGCACGAATGCATGAAAACAGACATACTGACACGACGACGACGACGACGACAGACATACTAACAAGACGATGACAGACTTACTAACTCGTCGACAACAGACATTCTGACATGACAACGACGACAGACTGACTTGACAGACTGGCGATAGACTGACGACACTGTCGACTAAGACAGAGAGACGCAGAGCCAGACAGACACGCACAGAGAGTCAGACTGACGACATTCAGACCGACACGACGACGACGGACAAGACAGACCGACATGACGACGACAGACGGGCAGACTGACGACTATATGTTGTTTACAGGTTGAATCACATAGTGACGACGACGACGGTATCACGACAAGGACAGTCCGTGACGACCAACGACAAGAGGCCCCGCGATGACGGCAGACTGGCAGGCAGACATTTTCCGTCCGTGTATTTTTCCGTATCGAGTACACCAAAACGTAGATTTTAAGTAACCAACTTCGAATGATATAGTAATTTACTAATAATAGGAACAAGGTATTAAAAATTACTGAGTGTTGAACTAGTCAAAACTATTTATTCATTTATATTAATTCAGGTAGGATACCCGGGAGACATCGACCCTCAGTTGAACAATATTTTAAAAAGAACAATGTTGAATAATATTCTGAAAGGATTTTTTCGAATTTTTCAGTGTACCCTGCATTGTACCAACGGCTGTTGCAAATTTTCCAAATGAACTTTCTTATACTCCAAAGAAAATTGCCGAAGATAAGTATAGAAATTTGGTACAGTTTAGTCATCTACCGAGAGGTGGACATTTTGCAGCCTTTGAAGAGCCTCAATTGCTTGCTAACGATTTGTGGGATGCAGTGGAAAATATAAGAAAAATTAGATCTCAATCTTTAAGTAAAGTCAAGAAATAATGAAAAATTTGTAAAATATTTTATGAAATAAATACATTTAAATAACATCATTCTGAAAAATGTTCATGCTTTTTGCAGCGCACTAAAAATGTTCTACACAATTTCTCCTTATTGACAACTAATTTATACCATATCTTCTTGCGAGTATTTCACAGCTCTTGGGACCGTTTCTCTCATCCAAATATGCATACCTCTCTTTATCATTTCGGCCATTGTCTTTTAGTCTTCTTCTTTGCACATTTTTAATAACCTGTTTCTGACATTCCTTTTTTGGGTCTACCTCTTTTTCTTCTGTCAAATGCAAACTACTCACAAACCTTTCTGGACCATCTCCTACGATCAAGTCTTTTTACGATATAATGGAATATATTTTTATATACGTAAGGTGGAAATTGTTAAACAAGTCAATCGAATAATTCAAGAATTGTTAATTTATATGAAATATTAAGGGTGTCGTAATGATGACTGTCATTTCTATAATTTTTGTAAACCAGAGGAAATGCCCAATGTGTGTACTATATCCAGTTTTTTTCCACTTCCTGCTGCTTTTTATTCAAATATTCTGTTTATATGAGTTGTGTAATGTTGTTTACAGGTTGAATCACAGATGTGGGAAAGAGAGTTCATGTTATATACATATATGAGAGAGAGAGAGAGAGAGAGAGAGAGAGAGAGAGAGAGAGAGAGAGACTCGGGGTGAAGAGAGGAGAGAGCAGGACAGTATCTGCCGAGTACTTAGTGTTCTCATAACATATTACGTTATATTTGCTATGATTTATATTTTTTATGTATTACTAACGTATTTGTTATGGGATATTTTGAAATCTTTCGAAAGGTTTTCCCGTTATTGACCTTAAGATCTTGCTTTTAAATTTTTACCTTCATGTGGTATTCGTGGTATGGCCTTAGATTAGATACCTTCGTACCTTAAATATCGATCTCAAAGAATAAAAAAACCGTACCGGCACGAAGTACCTTTATTACTTACTTTTCTTTCCAATTCTTTGCCAATTAAGAATGGGTTCCCGCAAGTTTCGATCTTCTGTTCTAACCTCTTTCTGTTGTACGTAAACGATATATCCTTGTCCATTAAAAAGGAAAAAACAATTCTGGTCACAAATGACATGAATGTTCTTTGCAGAAAGAAAGAGGGACAAAAATAGTACGGTTTCAGAAGTTTAAAATTGGTTTCGTAGTGACCAATTGACAGTTAACGAAGAAAAAACTGTTTCAATTCATTTTTGCATTTCAAATCGGCAATCGGAAGTCAAGCCTCAAATGGAATATTCATATAACTGAATTAAAGTTATTATGTTACGCATTCAGAATTCTTTCAAATTCGTCATCCTTCATGCAGCTCGTTGCAATTTGCAATTGTACGTGAGATATGGCTTCCTACAGTACTCAGACTTTAGATCGCAGAAAAAGTTTGAATAAGGAAACGCCATTCACGTGGTTCCTGTGAGCGCCTCTTCATTGAGCTTGGAATATTCGCATTTCCTTGTCTATTCATTTGCGAATCGGTAGTTTTCGTCAAAACTGACTTAACTGTGGGAACATATTATGCAATACTGATATTTATAATTACAACACACGTCGTAGAATTCACATTCATCAAGTATCAGTAATTCACAGCTCTCTACATGAAATTCGCATACGTGTACGTTACTTAACATTCCCAGGTGACATTAAACAATTAAAATCGGTAAACAGATTCAAGTTAAAAGTAACATATTTTCTGCTGCATAGCTATTTCTATACAATTAGAGAGTAGATTGATCATGAAAAAGAAAAATGTTTATTTTGACGGTAATATATAATGCATTAGTTGACATTTGTATTGTATTATTTTTTTTAATGACTCAACATGTCTGTAACAAGAAATGTACTTCAACTTCCGTGTCAATGATCCCATCTCGATTAGGTTTTTATCCAGGTTCCTGATCCATTGAGCAAATACTAAGATAGTCCTAGTTTTTCTTCTGAACATAAATGCAGCTTCACTATATGCACGCTTTGTTGAGCTCTCCTTTTGGTTGAAGCAGTAGGCGTAGGGGCGGGGGAGTAACTATTGTGTTAGCAATGCAAACAATCAAATCTGCAATTCGTTTACCAAAGCAAATAAGTTATTCATAAGTCGGAAGCAAAAATGTCTATTTTTGCTTTCCCGTATACATATGTATAAAGAAATAAATATACTCGTACGTAGAATAGGAACAGTTATGTAATGCTGCGAAATATCGGTTTCGAGAGTTCAACGCAAATATACATTTTGGGGTCTTTGATACCGAAAAAGTGTTTTTTTTTCAAAACGTCCCTCTGTCGGTCCGTCTGTCCGTCCGTCTGTCTGGTGTATGTGAACAGCACTAGCACATAAATTATGGGTGTGATTTTTTTCCAAACTGAATAAACCCCTGTCGGTCTGGCACGAGTCAGAGCTCTGCGATTTTGAAAAACACCCATTAATTTTCTGGGGTAATTTACACGAAGCCATTCGGACAGACTCTCAAAAAGAGCTCCTAGTTTTTTCATTAAACTTTTGATCCCAGTGCTAAATGTACTCTATAAGATGACGTAAATATCAGTTTGTTATTACTTTTTTAAAATTTCAAACATTTAATTTTTGACTTTCTCACGTCATTAATGTTTACATTATCGGCGACTTGTTCACGTTATTGTATTTATGAGTACATGTGCTTAAATTATGGTCGTATAAAGTTTCTTAAAAACTCAACAGTTTTTTGTGAAAACAAGTTCAAAATTCTGCATTTTCAGAAACGACATTTTCACAAAAACGGCTCTTTTTTTTCATTTTCGGTTATTTGTTTCTTCTTTAATAATTGCACAAAAGTAATTTTTTGAAAGACCTCTCACGCCGTTAATATGAGCATTTCCAGCAATTTATAATAACTATTGTAGTTGTGAGTTAAACTGCTTTAAATAACTTCCCATGTAGTTTTTCGAATTTACAGTAGCGCTTAATCGCCATTTTCTTAAAAACAGACCAAATTATTTAAAGAAAATTGTCATTAAAACGAAGTTTCACTGTTCTTTATAATTTTTAAACTAATATCTTGTATAAAGTAAAATTTCGTCCTAAATGACATTTTTCTTTACAACATTTAGAACTGTTTGTAAGGAAATGGTCTTTAAGCGCTTCTGTAAATTCGACACTTGAAGATCATTTTCATAGAAAAGTTTTGCGTTTTCGAAAAACTTCATTAGAAGTAATTTGAAGCACTTTAACTCACAAAACACAATAATGTTTACAAATTGTTGGAAGTGTCAGAGATTTAAAAAAAATGACATTAGTGTAATTGTTGAAAAAAACAAAAAAAATCCCCATAACACACTTCACGTCATATTAATAAGTGCAATTAGCACTATCCATTCGAAAAGTTTGAAGAATAAGTTTGGATTCGTTTTTGAGAAAATGGCGTTTGAGCGTTCCTAAAAATGCGGAATTTTGAGTTAGTTTTCCCAGAAAACTGTTGCGTTTTTGAGAAACTTTATTACATTATATTTTTCAATACATGTGCTTTAAATAATGTGAACAAATCGCCGCTAACGTATAATATTAACGACGTGAGAGACAAGTAAAAAATATATTTTTGTAATTTTTGGAAAGAAAGAATAAATCAATATGATGTTTATGTCATTTCATTTAGCGCTGTCTACCAATAGTTTAAAGAAGAAATTTTGAGAAAGTCTTGTTTCTGTTATTTTGTAAAATTGTACTATTTGCACGCAGTATTGCACGAAAACTACTAAAATTTTCAAAAAATTCTACCTGACCTGAACGAAAGAAGTTATTATGTAAAACAAATTTTATTTGAAGGAAAAGTCTTTAATTTTGTAGTTGGAGAAATACTTTCGAAAATTTTCGAACATTCAGTGTATACCGTGAAATTGAACATATTCAATCTTAATATGTGTATTTTACTTTATTCTTTCAATAAATTTAAAGAAGAAAATGGGAGCCACTTTTGAGAAAATTTTAAAAAATGTCCGCGGGTCTTCGTGTAAAGCACCACCAAAAATTAATGAGGAAAGTACTTCCAAATTTTAAAGATTTTTTTCAAAATCTTAAACATTCGACTCGAGCTTGATGGACAGGGGTATCTGGGGAAAATCCTACACATGGTTTAGGCGCTAGTACGAGTAGTGTTCAAGCACGGACGGACACACGGACATTTTGAAAAAAAAAAAACAAACAAACACGCATTTGGTAAAAGGGTTCCCCAAAACGTGTATTTCCGTTGAAATCTGATAATGAATTTTCGCAGCATTACACAACTTTCCCTGTACTATGTATATACGTCGATACATACGTGTATACGTACGTATGTTATAACCTTTACCTATCTGTGGTTGGAACAGATACCAACGCTGCATTCAAATCGCGCGGGCAGTACTTTCTGAGCGCAGTATGATACGGCAACCGAAGCAGATGGCACCCCAGCTTTGCTGATCCAACAGCCGAATATATCCCTTCCTACAAAAAGTAATAAATTCTACAGATATTCACCTCGATTTGGGGTAAATATATAATGTATTCGGGGTATTATTTTTCTAATGTAAGTGTTGCTATGAAAAAATCGTTAATGACGATTTAAAACAGTTTTGAAATCATAAAATTGGGGGGGGGGTATTTACCGGAAAAGCCGATAATATTCTGTACTTCATTCTTAACCTCGGACGCGCTATATACCAACAAAGACGTTAATTCTGACGTTAATATTCTAGATCAGGCTTCAAGATGCATCAAGATCCAACATAACGTCAACTTTGAGAACTTTTCATTCAGTACTAGTCTCAGTCGCCTTAAATGAAAGAGTTGTAGCAAATTAAAATTTGTAACATTACGTCAGTAACTTAAATTGACAACAATTAACCAACCTAAGCATCACATCAAAGCAATATTTTGAAAACATTGCAATTGTTTGCACACATAAATACTTATTAAGTCAGTTTTCGTTTAATTTTTCTGTTTTAAAATTATTTTCACTTTTAGCAAACCAAACTAAGACATTTTGTAACCTGTTTAAGCATAATACAGAAGGTAAGAGCTTGAGTAAAATCTGATACTTCTAATATTAGGTCTATTTGTCATAATGATCATATCCTTGT